ACTACTCTTAGTAAAAGCTGGCATCTTGATAGTTGCACAGTACAAACCAACTGACTCCTGGATATCAAAGCCCTCATGAATTAAGATTACATCTCCAGGTAAGAGCTTATCAAGGCGACCACTGTTCTCAGTCAAATGTTTGTCACTGACTCTTCCTCCCAGCCACTGGAAACAAAGCTTACTGTACACTGGGGGAGTGACAGCATTTAAGTACTTAATTGTGTTGTGGTGTTTGTAGGATGAGTAAGTTTGTGTCCTCGCAAGAGGATTTAATGCACGATCGAAAAAAATGTCAAAGCAGTCAATGATGGCAACACATTTAGGGCAGTGTTTTCTAAAATCCATGGGCAAGGCCTTTCTTAAGGCTTCCCTATCAGGCCATAAAATAGGAGGGTTTAATCAATTATAAAGAACAATTACTTGTAAGAAAATTCTTAATGCAGTTCCCTTTTTGATGTTTCCAAATCGACACCAGTTAAATTAAGTCGCAGTTTCATAACTGTTAAAAGCAACTACATAAATGGTGACAAAGAGCATTTTGGAGAATGCATAAGGTAGGGGGGTACCACTTCCAGTGTTGCTGACAACATCTTCCAATTTGGCAGACCAATGTAAAAGAGGACTTTTTCGTCATCATCTAAGAAGGATTTTTCGTCAAGCGTCATGTCACTTATCTTGTTTTTTAACTCAAGATTTTCTTGGGTCAAGCGATTTATCTCGCTCTTCATTGCAGTTATTTTATCCAAACTCAGTTCTCTTTGTGAATATTTGGTGTTCGATTCTGATTCTGACAATGAAGCAGATGTGGCTGATATGACTCCGTGTTCTTCGTCTACAAGATGGCTTGTCAAGGTCGATTGGGTCACTGCTGACAGTACTGTCTCAAGGCATTCACTTTTTTTTGTTTTTCATTTCTTTCCGAAATACGAGCATAGCCATCGATATCAACTTTTTCGACATCTGTATGTCAAAGGTTTTGAGATGGAGCCCAGTCTGGATTAGTTTGGTCCATTAAAGCCTATGGTTTACCTGCCATTGTGAACAAAACAACAAATGGTATAAAATGACACAAACGAACACAACAAAGCTTTTTTCAACTTATTGGCTTACCAGTAACAAAATGAAGGCCACACACTCGTAAATACGTGCATTTGGAATCATCAATGTCTGCCGACGAACTCTTCGAAGCCACGAAGAACTACGTTCCTTGTGTAAATCTTGCAATATTTTGCTTACATTGTTTTTCACAGCTGGTATGCAATAAAAACTTAATTCCTTATCCCTATCAGCATGCTTCGAACAGCCATAAATTGCGCAAAAGTTAAACCATCCTTAACAATAATATTGCTTTGTTATTTACATGTCGCGTTTGCTTGTCCTCCAGATGCAACGTCTCCGGGATTGTGATGTCACATGCAATGGGTCTATAGAAAACCTTGTATTCAACAACTATAAAATACTTCACTCAACCAAATCTAACAACTACCACATTCTTGCTTTTCTTGAAGCACTTCTCATCGTACATAACAAACCTTTTCTCAACAAGGGACTTAAGGCTAGCAAAGAATTACAACTCTTCTCTTCAATTATAATCCACTTATTCTACTAGTCGGGTCGGCAGTTTCAATTCATCCTTTTGAAATACTACACCTCTTCCAACTCTGCCTTTGTAAATATCACAATATTGAATTTCTATTGCTTACTTCCGTTTACTTATTTCATGCGTTGTAAATATATATGTGTATGCATGGTTTTATATATCATTCTGTCTGAGGATGACTTTGAAATAAAGTCGAAAATTTACAGTTCACTTCTCGTCTTGTTTTTATTCATATTTAGCAATCTTAAATTGTCTTGCTTCTTCGGAATTTGTTTTATATTATATTTCTTTAAATTGCCTGATGGTCATGGTTTTTATAATAGTCTAGTGAAATGCCTAATAAACATTAATGGCATAAGGATGTGTTGTTTTTACATAAAAACGATGCCACAAAAACATTTTGCATTGCTCTAAAATGCTGAAAATTGCTTTTCCAAGGCTTTGAAATTCAAAATTTCCTGTGAGAGCATTGGTAGGGAACGCCTCCAGCATTTCATGACTGATGTTTGAAAAATCCTAGTTCCACCCCTGGTCTTTGCATAAAATATTGTACCTAAATCTTCGCTTCTTCAAGGAATGTATTTGATTAATCTATTGCTTTTTTTGGTACTTATACATTTAACAACAATTATATCTAAAAATTTTTTTAAAAATTTATTATAATATTTACATGACAATATGTGCCTATCATAATCAACATATTCTTTATTTTCTATCTAAATTCTTTACATGATCCATTAATTAAAAGATCACTAACAAATAAAAAATTATATCTACATTTATTATCACACACTGTAATTTTAAATGAAGTAAAAAACCAGTTCGGTGAGCAGAAAGGACTAAACTAACGTTGCATACCAGGGATGGATGAAAGGTTTTTTTGAAAATTTTTTTCTTCATTCTTTAATTCAATTAAAGACAATTAAGATAACTTTTTCAGAAAACCATTAAAACTTTAACAAAATTTCAAACTATCTAAATGGATAATGAAGGACCCCAATAGCAAAACATCCCAAAATGTTCCAAATTTAAATGTCCCCTTTACACAAGTGTTTTTTACTTTAACTAGATAAGATGCTTAGTGCCTTACTTGACTTCTAATCTTCCAAAATAACTTCTTCATCTAAGTCATACTCGTCGTACATTTTCTTGACCATTACATCTGACATCTGAAGGGTGTTTGTTTTCATATATACCAGTTTCCAAACTTTCTCTGGACCAAGACGATTCCTTAATTTGGAATGGATGAAACCAAAGGTGGAAAAGTGCCGCTCTGACGGCCATTACTGCAAAAAAACATTTTGCAGTAATGGCCAAACTGTGCTTTCTGCTAACCACCACTGGAGTACTGCGCTTCAATCGGAAAGGCAGTATACTCTTGTGCCATTTGGTTCATCCGTTCTTCACTTGTTGTGCCATCCTTTTTTGGAAACTTGAAAATGGAATCTTCAATCTGGTTTGAAAAGTGCACAGCATTCCATCACCCAGGTATCTTGGATCTAGAAGATAGGCTACCCCATGTGCATCTCCATACATAAAATCAAACCGGTTATGCACCAATTCTACCAAGTAAGCCCTCTTGTCACATTCTTCAGGCTGTGCAACTTCTCCTCTAGCTCAATAAATGCCTTGTACACATCTGAGCTTGGGACTACATCATTTTGGAAGAACTTAATGTATTTATCGACTATTGCCAGCATTGCTATGCATTTTTCAAGCTTGACAACAAAATTGGGATCTGTGATCACAGCTTTAATTCCCACACGCTTTTCTCTTTGTTTGGCATTTCCCTTGGTAACGAAATCACGCTTACATACCAAACCATTGACAATATTGTCAGCCTTTTGAAACAATTTCAAGCAGCCATCTAATGTGCCCCAACATGTTGGTACAGGCCATACCAATCCACTCAACTTATTTGCAGCCAATGCTCTCTTTAGCTTTGCTTTAGGGACATGATGATTATGGAAAAAAGAAACAACATCCTTGCACTCAAGGGTAAACTGGAGCGGGTCTTCTAATGGGTAACCAGCTGGATACTCTTAAGGAGCACCATCAGGGGCATCCTTTTTGACTGCAAAGATGTCTTTTACTAGAAGGTGTAGCCCTTCTTTTACTAGAAGGCTGTGAAGGGACACACAGCCATGAAAAAAGAGGGTAGAATAATGCTTTTCCAATTTACTCCATGCCTTTTGTTTGCTGCTGTATTATCTGTAACTGCGCTAAGTACATTGTCTCCGAGACTATCTATTAACCGCCCTAGATCTGTGAAAAGCCATTCAGTTGTGTGGCTTTGCCCTTCTGTGTTCACTGCTTCCAAGAATAATGGTTTTGTTGGAGACACAGCCTTATAATTAACAACAGGGTCATTCGCTACATTTGACCATGCATCACTTGTAATGCACACAAAGAGATCATCAGTGGAAAGAACCTTATTGACCCCTTCCTTTACCCTCTGGTAACATTCATCAAGCAGGTATCAAGGACTATCATCTGCTAGGTGCTTGTGCTGTGGCAATTAAGCACTTGGGTGTGCCAATTGAACAGCCCGAAGGAGAAATGTATTTTCAACCCTATGGAAATTGAACCTGTGTAGTAAAAACATTGCCATTTTATGATTGAACCTTTTTTGTTCTGAGGTAGTGAACAAGGGTATGGTGAATGATCGTACTGATGATTGTGACTTGGTGCTACAGACAAAGAGCTTTGGCAAGTTGTTGATACAATTGACTTCTTCATGTGCCCTCTTCCTAATCCACCATTCTGGGCGATCATTGGCAGCCATGTCCAGCATTACTCTTCTAAACTTGGGGCATTTTAGAAGGTAGGCTTTGACAGTAGTTATGGTGCAGGTATGGTCCCGGAAGTAAACGGAGCTCTTACCTGTGTCAATTAGTTTCCGTGTAAACCGGAAAAGAACTTAGCGGGGAATGTTGAATGTAATAGGTTATCATAATGAAGGGAAATGTAACAAATGACAAAAATAAAATGGCATTTTCAACGGTAGTGACGATAATTTATTGTTTTCCTTCAAATAAAAACATTTCTTCGAAACTTAACGTGACAAGAAACATGGTGACAAGAAATATTATCTAATTTATAAAGCATCCAAAAAAATGTTAGAAAGCACTCATCGTGTATTTCATTACACGATTCAATATATTGTCGAACTATTGTCTTAAAAAATGTGATTTGCGTTGCTCATTTTGCTTTGCTTTTGGACGTTTTGAAAAAAAAATATGGCACACATGTTTAATCAGATATATGCAGACACTGTTGAGTTTGAAGAAGTTAGTCACAGCGATCTTATTAATTTGATTTTCGTCGATTTTATAAATAAAAAGATTCAAGAGCTACGAAGAGCTGAAAAGGATGAAAGTAAAGGTAACCAATTCTCCATTGAGTGGTATTCTCATTTCCGACAAACTTGCATGCTAACTCCTTTCAGACGCCACAAAATCATGCAAAATGTATTGTTGCTTTTGTGGGTATAAATTAGAAGACAGCTTTGTCTACTGCCCGTCATGTGGGCGAAAAAAAAGTGAAACAATTGGTGCCAACGCCGAGATAGATCGCTCAGCTTCTACTTCCAGTACTAATAATCAATTCACGAGTGGGACGCCATCAATAGCAGCCACGTTCGCCGATTTTAAAAAACGAAAAGAGATTGAGAGGCAGTCCAGTTTTAAACCTAATAAAAGAAATCGACAGGCAGAAGGGACACGCAGCAAGTCAAAAGATGAGGTCATTATCAACATTGGTTTAATGGAATACGAGTATGGTGAGGCGAAAGTACAACGTGGCAAATCTTTTCCTGTGAAGTTGACCAAAGACATGAGCTATGACGAAGTAAGGGAAAGATCAGTGAAGAAGTGGGAAGACTATGACAGAAGCTTCAGCCAAGCCCGGGGTTACGTATTGGTTTTTCCTGATGGAAAAATAGCTAAAAAGATACCTGGCAGCTGTGAAGAGTTCACTTTGAGAAAATACAAGGAAGGCCTTGCTAAAAGCTATAGCTGAATTACTCTGTATCTTTGTCCAGCAACTGAAAAGAAAGAGACCAGTATGCTACCTATTACAAATTGGTTAAGTGATGAGGAAAATGAGATTCGTGCAATAGAGAGGTATGGGCTGTGATTCTGATGATGACTAGATTGACTGCAACAATGTACCATCATCAAATAATTTAATTGGCAAATCCAGTGAATTGTTGATGAACCATCGATTAATCTGAACAAAGTTGAATGTAATCATTCCGTTCCACTGTTTGAAGTTGCTGATTTCTTGTGAGTACTTGTCCTTTTATGTTAGTTTAAGTTTGTAATGTTTTCAGTAATTCACTTTTGTTTCAACCTAATTTCTATTGTAGGCCTGTTGGTTTAGATGAGATCATGGCTGTCCAAAAAGCTATAAATGAAAGCATCCAACAACTTGGAAGTAATGAGGATATAGTGTCACTGAATGATCAATCTGTTGGCCTGGACTATGAACATGCTGTTAGGTTGATAAAGGAGCATTCAGCTGCAGTTGTTCATGGGGAACCCGGTAGTGTGGTAGTGAGCCGGTTAAGCATGTGGGATACAGCAAAACCTTATTTTGAAAGGAAAAAGTTCCTGAGAAGTATAGTTTCCTGTGTGTCACTTTCGCTTCATTCGAGAAGCAAGAGGATGCTATCGATAATGGTGGTCCTCGTCGTGAGTTTTTTCATCTGCTCCTTGGTGCAATATCTAAAGAAAGTGGCACCTTGTTAAGTCGTCATAAGAATTGTTTACAATTTTATTCATCAGGCATATATAATTGTCAGTGCATTATGTTGTACATAACTGCTTTGTTACCATAGCCAAAATTTAAACATAAATTTTATCCATCATTGTTTGCAATTTTATGCATATTTTGTATTATTCAACATATGATTAACTTAACTAGATAGCAAGATTTTTTGATTTAGATACACAGAAGGCTATGTTATAAGAGCTAATTTCAAGGCATTGCAAAGTGGTGAATTTGCTGTGGTTGGAAAGATGTTGGCAACTATGATTGTACAGGGAGGAGAGTTACCGAGCTATTGAGTCCTGCCTTTGCACCTCAGGGCAACCAAAGAAGGATACCTGAGGAAGTCATTATGGCAAAGTTCATTGCATTTTTGAAATCAATTGAAGGTAATATGTGTTTATTTATTACTGATAATGCTTTGCAATACCTTTTGCTTACTTAATCCTTTCCTGGTTTTTCAGATGGTACTTTGCAAGAAAGTTTGGAGGATTGTGATGTGGAACTCACTGACCAAGAAAAAAAACTTTATTCCGCAATTGACACCAAGCCATGTGCTGTTGTTTGCCACTGGGGCTGCTAGCATACCATCTATAGGCTTTGACCCAAAGCCTGTAATTAATTTTGTGCATGATAGTGAAAAAGCAATCCCTTGTGCGCAGACATGCACAAATACATTGAATCTATTTGTAAATAGTAGAACCAAGGATGGTAATTTGTCACATTACCTTCTAACAGCATTGATGAATGGTGGCATCTTTAGTAAATTGTAAAATACATGCTTTTCTTACACTATGACATTAAATTTTTTCTATTTAAATTTTAATTAAGTATTTATACTTGTATTTTAAGTGGTAGGTCATTCCATGCCTTGTGAAATCTGACACAACCTATTATATTGGTCTAATGCTTCTCTCCAATTGGTTCGTTTGGCAAAGCTGAGTTGTTGTGCAATATCTGCAAAGTATTCCTGATAAAGGCTTTCCTCTGTATATCCATTACAATATTCTGACATGTCATGAAATTTTTCATCAGAAATACACTAAATATGATTTTGAACACCTGTGCATTCTGGCAAAAAGAACATTTCATCTGGTCGTCCAGCAACAGTTTCAAACCTAGACTTCTGTATGTAATGTGTGTTCCAGTGTAGTTGGACTGATGTAAAATCTGACTGAACAAGTTCACTGAAGCAGAACCACAGACATTCTTTCTGCAATTGATTTGATAGGCAAAGTTGACCAATTTCAACAAAGTCTTTAAAAAAATTCATCCACTAACTGGAACGATTCTTGCGCAAGTAGGACCACCAGCATTTAATGCACTGATTAGAGGGTGAAGTGCCATACCTGTGTGATTTCTCACCAGCAAATTCATCATCCCCATCACATCGAAAATAAGATTGAATGGCAGCCAAAATTGTATTTTCAGTTCCATTGTCGGTTCTAAGTACAGTGGGACAACCTCCAAACTCCTTCACAGCATTTAAAAAAAAGTGTCCAATTACTGCAGGATCATTGTTAGTTCTGCAGACCTAAAACCACAGGACCTTGCGGCTGTAGCCATCAATGCACCCATGAACTGGAAAACCATAAGGTTTTAACTTATCATATCCATCCACGTGCCATGTATAGTTTGGGCCTGGGGTGTGATAAATTCGAAGACAAAGAGTTTTGGACTTTCTTTGTTGTACACCTTGAGGATCAAGTTCCTTTAGGATACCTCTAACGACATCTTGTGGAACCTGCATACCTTCAATTCGCAATGTATGCCAAAACGCACGACAACTGCCAGAACAGCCAGGACCGTTAAGCTCTTGCTGAATACGAGTTTTAACATTATCTAAGTTATAGTCAATGTTCTTTCGTTTAAGCCCAAGATAGTGAAGTTTTGTATTTAAGGTTCTCAAAGAAATTCTGATGCCATGGTATTGAGACAAAAAACAAAGTATCTTTTGGTAATCAAAGCCTTGTTTAAAGTAACGCTCTATAATCTCTTCGCAAGATGGATTTTCAGCGCGACTCTGACTATTCATTTTCCAAATTAAATTGCGCTCGAAAACGCTGCATTATACGCTGCAACTGTAATTAATCTAAGTAGTTTCTTCGTTTTGCAATCGTTTTATGGATAAATGGCAGTAACAGGACTATTCGTAAAGTGTTCCCTTATGATCGTTGATGTTCACAGATGCGACATTTTGTTGTGTATTGAGAACAATATATTTGTGCATAAAGTATTTATGTTAATGTTTATATAAAAGGAGTTGGTATATTGTGAAATATTTAGTTGTGTATTTTCCAATTTTCTCGTGCATTTAAACTTCTTTATGCGAGAATATATTTTGAATTTTGTACTGAAAAATTTATTTATGCATTTCAACTTTAGTTAGTGCGCTCATATATTTATTCGTGTATTGCACATACGGGCCACCGTACATTGGATAGAACTAATGTTAATGTACACGGAGACAAAACGTCCTCCTTTTTTTCAACATCTCTTTGACTATGCTGATTGTAGTTGTAAACTGAAATACAAATCAACTATGTAATTGCTTTGACAAAAAAATAAAATATAATTTCAATGTTATTGCATTTGGACTTCAGTTGTTTTATGACCAGGTTAATGTGAAATGGGAATTGGTAGCAGCAAACGTGAAAATAGAAATGCAAAAAGGGATAAAAATCATAATCGTCAGAAAATGTTTTGCCTGGGTATAAAGCCTTGGTCAAACGAGCGCAACATTTGCATCCAACATCCCCCAACTTTGTTGTGATATAATGTTGGCACCGTTTGACCACTATTAAAAATAATGTTGGATGATGTTGGACAATGTTGGATGAAGTTTGACGCGAGTCAAATTTTCATCCAACATTTTATGCTAATTTTTGATGTTGTTATTCGTTTGACCACATGTGACAACATTTGTTGGCTTTACGCATGCGTATTTGTTAGTTTAAATTCAAGATGGCCGACCAAACAAGTCACGATGTGTTGACAAATGAACAGTTTGAACTGCCTTTGACTGACAATGGCAGCCAAACAGGCCACGTACATGGACGCGATATTGTTATTAGACAAACTCCAAAAAAGGCAGTTGCTAGAAAAAAAATAAATCCAGAAAATGGACCACAAATGAAGTTGAATCGTTAATAGATTTGTTCGAGGAACGTGTCTGTTTGTTGGACATCTTTCAAAAAGAATATCATAACAGAGAAGCTAAAGAAAGTGCTTACACCGAGATAGAAGAAATTCTAGGAATATCTGCCTAAGAAATAAAGGCCAAAATTCTTTCCATTAGGGCCCAACTTGGTTGTGAAATTGGAAAGACCAACAACAAAAAATCTGGACAAAGTTTGAGTGAAAATTATGTATTCACCTTGGTGCATTGGGAACGTCTTCAGTTTCTGCGACCGACCGGTAATGAATGCTGGGAAAAGTAGAGATAACCTGCCATTCACATTGTCACAGTCAAAGGACTTAAACTCATCCACCATCTTAGTCAATGACTCTCTTAATGAAAGCTTCAATTCAGAGTCGATCATATCATCGTGTTCCACTTCTTCCACCACTTCTAATACAGCAAGGATGCGGTCCCTAACAGAAGAAAGAAAAAAGGAGCTTCTTGAAACTTGTATTGAAGTTTTAAAAGAACCCACTCACACTGCAAATGACACAAACCATTGTTCCTTTGCAATGTATGTAGCAGATAAGTTAAAAACAATGGATGCAAGAACCAGAACAGTTGCAGAGAAACGCATCCATTATATTCTCTTTGAAATGGAAATGAATGGTATTGGACCTTGTGATCAACAACAAGGATTTAATGTTCCAGTTCAAGCAAATGTTAGACAATACTTCACTCCTGAAAGGCATGATGGACATTCTCTTCCATACTTACCAGATGCTATTTATTTTAATAGCTAATTGGTCTTTTGCTGTTTATAAACTGAAGGTGGACATTTCTTAGTTTTATTAATATTTAATTTATTAGTTTTTATTAAGTTACATGGAATGAATGCTAAATCATTTATATTTATTTTGTTGTTCTCATGATACTGTTTAATAAAATTCAGATCATAGTTTAATAATATAGATGTGTACTCTGCATGAGATAACAATGCAGTAATTTTGTTATATCTGTATGTAGTTTAAACTAACATCTGCTCCATTGCCAATCTATGGCACCATCTGTGCAAACGTATTGCATGAATGATTGTCTGACTTCTTTTGCATTGTTTGTAGAATTGTGACCTGATGAAGGCACACTAAGGGGTGCAAATGAAGTTGAGTTATCATGTCGCCACTGTCCAGGAACAATATTTCCATTTAAATCTTCAGTGTCATGTAGTCCAACTTGACAGTAAATATTTTTTGGTGAGCTCTTGTGTAAATAGTTATGAAGGATGAGTGCTGTGTTTCTTATTGATTGGACTGTTTCTGGGGACAATTGAAGAGGTGTTATTAAGAATCGCCATCTATTTGCTAGAGTTCCAACCAGGTTTTTCAACTATATGTCGTGCCCGGCAATGCCTGTAATTATATACTCTTTTTTCAACAGAAAGATTTTGCTGGGGATATGGCTTCATCATGAAAATTTTTAATGCAAAAGCATCATCTCCTACAAATACATATGGGAGGGATTCTGTACCACTGGAAGTTGTTCTGGAGGGGGAAGAGTAATCTGATTTGATTCGATAGCCTTTGCCATACCACACTTATTCCAAACTCCTCCATCAGAAATACGGCCGTTAGTGCCAATGTCAGCATATAGACATTCATAATCTGGGCCAGCAATTGCAAGCAACACAATGGAATTAGTGTGCTTGTAGTTATAGAAATATGAACCAGCATTTGCAGGTGGCTGCAGCAAAATGTGTTTGCCTTCAACGGCACCAATACAATGAGGATACTGCCATCGGTTTTCAAACTTTTTGGCAACATGTAACCACTCTTCATCTGTTGAAGGGCATTTCATGAACACCGGTCCAACATGACGGTTTATCGCTTCACAAACTTCTTTAATTATGTAAGAAATGGCTGCCCTTGATATTCTAAATTGAAAGCTCAAAGATCTGTAAGATTCACCCGTCGCTAGGAAACGTAACGTCAGTGTAAGCCTTTCTTATTCGTCTGTCATCCGCCATATTGTTTTTATAATAAATAATATATTACCGGCCAACCCCGTTGATCGACCCACTCAAAATAGCAAAAGTTGGCCCGGTTTGACCAGTTCAAGACAACAAAGTCGCAACATCGGCCAACAAAGTTGCGCGATGTTGGATGCAAATGTTGCGCTCGTTTGACCAAGTCTTAAGTTCCGGACGCAACGATCTCAATCTTGAGGGTCATTAGCAAGCAGGATACACAAGTAAAACGGTCAAATATTATGGACCTGTCGCAGTTAAGGCTGTAACAGATAACACAGTAGAGGAAACGTCACCTGTAAATGAGAACATTGAACCCTCCATTATGAGTAATTTAAAGTAATTGACACCTATTTGCAAAATTATTATCTTGAGAACATTACCATGAGTGACACGGACAAGTACCTAGCCAGTGTGTACTTCGACCCCAAACGTTCAGGAAGCTATGGGGGTGTTGAACGTTTGTACAACGATGTGAAAACCAAAGGAATGTACGATATTAGTCGTAAAAAAGTTAAAGAATGGTTGAGCCAGCAAGATGCATATACAATACATAAACCAATTTGAAGAAAGTTTGAAAGAAATTGCGTTCTGGTGAGCGGTGTCGATGCCCAATGGCAGTTGGATTTGACAGACTTACAATCTCTATTAAAGTATAACGAAGGTTATCGGTATCTTCTTA